TATATATATATATATATATATATATATATTATTTGTCATGTTTTAGGGCAGTTTTTGCTTTCAGATTTCTGTCAGAACGTTCGAAGGCATCAATTTTTCCCTCAAAAAGTTGTATCCGACGACAAGAACGTGCTCCTACGAAGAGGAGACACATGCATAAATTTTCCCCTCAAAGGGTTGTTCCATCAAACCCCAAAAGTTTTTTGTTCCCCGTTCCAATAACCTCTTCCACTCCCACAAATCTAAACCCTAACCATGTCACCAAGGAGACACATGCTGAAACTTACCCGGGAAGAGAAACAACGAGGGATCCGTCGATTTCAACATAGGCTTGCGGAGATTGATGATGGAACCCTAAGGAAAATTACCCTCGATCGTGATAGAAAGAGTCGAAGAGGAGAAGGAGACCAGAATTTGAGCCCCTTTTATAGGAAGAACTTCCGCGATGAGGAGGAAAAACCACCATGCTTCAAAATTCATTATCAAAGGGGAGGCGACATATCACATATGGAGGATATAGAGATTTCCAAGTGAAAGTGAATCCACCGAAGTTCGAAGAAGGAATGGATCCATATGATTTTATCAAATGATTGCAGAGAGAAAATCTTTGAGTACAAAAAAGGTGTCAGTAGAAAAGAGGATGAAACTCGCGGCTGTCAAATTGAAAAAGAATGCTTCTTTATTGTAGGAAAAGTTGCCGAGGAAAAAAAGAGAAGCGACAAGATTACCATATATGAGAAGATGAGGAAATATATGTAGAGAAAATACTTACCTCCTCACTGCTATCAAGAAATGTTTCTAAAACTTCATCTCCTATAACAAAGAGACACATCAGTGGAGGAGTTCACGACAATATTTTAACAAATTCAGATAAAATGCGAGTTGGTCAAGCCAGAAGAACATAGTGTAGCCAGATATTTGGGAGGCCCGAAGCTAGCTATCAGTAAAATTGTTCAACTGCAAAACTATTAAACATTGTGAGATGCTTAAAAGGTGTAAAGACAACACAAACAAAGCAAACAACCGCTAGAGATAAGGAGGGCCCTACATGCTTCCGATAACTACCTACAGTCGCAGCTACCAACAAGGTTACATCTAGAGAAGTTGGGAAGGCTTGACAAGGGAATGTCGAGATAGATCCGAGTGGAAAGAAGCATGTGAAGAGTAACATGCCCAGTACAGTGCCTGTCAGAAGATATTTTTGGTGTCATGGCTATGAACACATAGCCTCCACCTGCTCTTTGAGCCTAGTTTTTCCCTTCACCGGGCCAGACGCCGTCGAGGAAGTGAGGAAAAAACAAAGGATCGGGATGAGGAGCATCAACTCCAAGGAGAAGAGGGAGAGATAATAGTCATAAGGAGGGTCCTACAAACCGAGCTGCATAAAATTCATTCGCAACTAAGATAGCATTATCCACACCAGGTGTATCGTGAGAGGGAAAGTCTATGGCCTGATTATTGATGGTGGGAACTGTGAGAATGTGGTATGCACTCTGATGGTGAAGAAAATGGATTTGGTTACACAGAAACATCATCAATCTTATTCCCTTAGTTGAAAAAGGAAAATCAGATACATGTGGATTAACAGTGAATTCTTGAGTTTTCCATTGGAGACCAGCTATAGAAGCGGGTGTGGTATGGCATGCAACCCATGGATGTGTGACATATTTTGTTAGGGACGTCGTGGCAATTCAACCGCAAGGCCCACATGATGGGTTCAAGAACACTTATTCATTTAAGAAGGATGAAAGATGCATAATTATTTTGCCCGTCAAGGACTGGAGAGTAGACGTCACAGAGGAGATAGTAATCTCACAAGCCAATTTTATACAGTTGGTGCGAGAGGCTCCAATGATGATGACTCTAGTCATGTTAGAAGTAACCGAAGAGAAGATTAAGATATCAGAGCCTATACAACCACTGTTAGCCGACCGTCAAGACATAATGACTGAAAACCTTCCAAGGGGTTGCCAGCACTGGAGACATTCAACATGCCACATATCTCATCCCTAGATCAATGTTGCCAAGATGGCATGTCTACATATTGAGATCTGCAGAGTGCTAGGAATTACACCGACATGTATTGAATCTCATTGCGAGCAGCTTGGTGAGAGAGAATATCAGCCCATGTGATGTCCCTGCCTTGATTGTGCCTAAGAAAGATGGATCATGGAAAAAGTGTATTGATAGTCAAGCCATCCAAAAATGTCGCCATCAAATACAAATTCCCTATATTACGCTTGGATGACCTCTTGGATTAGTTGCATAAATCCATTGTCTTCCAAGATCGACTAATGCAGCGGATATCACAAGATCAGGATGAGACCAAGGGACGAGTGGAAGACTGCTTTCAAGGCTCGCGATGAATTATAATCATGCCTTCCGTGCTCTCAATGCTCCAAGCTCACATAGGGAAGTTTGTAGTGGCGTACTTCGGCGATATTCTTGTGTAAAACAAATCCAAGGAGAACTTGCAACAACAGAGGACGGTCTTCATGGTTTTGCGATCGAAAAACCTATATGTCCACCCAAAGACATGTCACTTCCTGACGTCACATGTATGCTTTTTAAGCTATATTGCGTCTAGTGTAGACATTAAGATTGCTCCTACAAAGATTGAGAGCATAGTGAGTTGGATGCCCCCATAGTCATTTACCAAGTTGAGTCAATTTTTAGAGCTGACGTCATTCTATAGGTGGTTCAATCCTCACATTTGAGGCGTTATATTCAACCTTGAACAACTAACTGAAGTACGCTATTGTCAATACTGGTGCCTGAGTCATCTCCTCCAAAGTATCAAAATTGGGATGAGTTGCTTCCGTTCACTGGAACTTCTATCTTTTCAAAAGTTCTGTTGGGGGAGTAATGATAGTGTTGAAGCAAAGATAGAGAGCATAGTGAGTCGGATGCCCCCATAGTCATTTACCAAGTTGAGTCAATTTTTAGAGCTAACATCATTCTATAGGTGGTTCAATAGAAGCTTCAACACTATCATTACTCCCCCGATAGAACTTTTGAAAAGATAGAAGTTCCAGTGAACGAAAGCAACTCATCCCAATTTTGATACTTTTGAGGAGATGACTCAGGCACCAGTATTGACAATAGCGTACTTCAGTTAGTTGTTCAAGGTTGAATATAACGCCTCAAATGTGAGGATTGAAGCAGTACTGAGACAAGGAGGCAATCTCATAGCCTTCTTCGGTGAGAAGATGAATGAGTCCAGGAAAAAGTATTCGACATAAAGCAAATAGTGAGACAAGGAGGCAATCTCATAGCCTTCTTCAGTGAGAAGCTGAATGAATCCAGAAAAAAGTATTCGACATAAAATAAATTGTTATGTGCAATCATGAGAGCTCTTAATCACCAGTCACTACCTGCAGACGAGCAAGTTTAATTTATTTTATGAGTCGCTTTTGGATAACTGACCAAAGAAAAATATATTGAGATTTTCATACCTCTTTTATACTGTTTTTAATGATATTGCACTTTAAAGAAATGTATTTTTGATGTTTTATTGCAGGAAAATGGAGCAAAAAGATACAAAAAAGAGCGAATTTGGAGCAAAAATGACCAAAATGTGGAGAATTGCACTAGGTCGCCGACGACGCCATCGAGGCCGCCGACGACGAGCTTTTCTCGAGGCTACAAAACAAATTCTCTAGAAGGCTGCCGACGGCGCCATCGAGGCCGCCGCCGGCGGGGGCGGCGGGTTG